AAACTGTAGGACTTGCTACTGATTGGAGGAGAGCAGCGTACTCGGCGTGTGGGCAGCCGAGTTGGGATTGGCAGAGGAGGACTATAAAGGAGGAGAGAGACGGCATGCACCGGGAACAGCTAAGGGGAACATCTAGCTGAAGGAACACCTGTGCAGCCCCCGAGAAAGCCGGCCGGCGGTGTGCCGCTCCCCTGCGGAAGTGGGGAATGTGGCCAGGGGGAACTGCCCTTCCACGGAGGTGGAAGGGACAGTAGCCAACCCGGGAAGAACCAGCAGCAAACCCGGGGAGGGCCGAGCAGACGAAAGAACAGCGCAGGGTCCTGTGTTGCTCCTCCACGAAGAGGGGGAGCGACATAATGGTGCCGTGACTCGGATATGAAGCCTAGGCAGGGCTTAGTGTCGTTCCCCCACGAAGACGGGGAGCGACAGTACCCGATGTAGTACCAATGTAATTCAATTCACGCAATTCAAAAATGGCACCGCTGTTGCCATTTTGCAGTGGTGGGAGCTCAGGCTCAGCGAGATCCAATGTGTCATCTGTCCCACATCACAAAGCTGGTTCAGTCACGGGCAGTGGGACATGGACATGGACTTGGGGCTGACAGAGCCAAGCCCTTCCAATGAGGCTATGCTTTCTCTTAGCTCCTTGCCTTTCCCTCTTTTTAGAAAAGACACCCAAGTGTCGATTCTGCACAAATCTCACATATTGCACTCATGTTGTCTACACCTTTTCAAGGTTGCCCCGATAGCTTATTTAAGTCCGGCTCGACTTAAAGCAACAGTGCGAGTTCTTGGGAATATTGGGTCCTGATTCACCAATAGAGACCATAAAATAAGGACTTGGGTCCAATAAAGAGAAATGGTGGCGTGAGGCAGGTATAAGCCTCCCGAGCTTGCCTTTCTAGTAGTTCACTGGGCAAAGTGTCTCTAATGATCATGAAATCTTAGGAATTTTTTTCACCCAAAACAAAGAATTTCTAGGCAGTTCAAATCAAAAACAGAGGGAACAGAATAACTCTTGCTCACCATGTTTACAAAACAGACTAAACTGTGTTGTGCCCTTTTCCCACACCCCATATGTGGCTGCTACTGCCCCAGGTCTTTTAAGCTCATGAACCATGAGTGTGATATTGGGTGATTCGATTACATGGACATTAAATCATCTCCACCCAGCGCAAGCTCATCCCACGTTAACCAAGGAGAGCTACTGCAAACAGCATCCTGCATCCGGTTATTTGAAAGAAATCTGCCATGAGTTGAAATCCCAGGATTTCTGAGCTAGGACACAAAGTGCACCCCTGCAGCCTGCTGGAGACCACGGGCCGCTGGAGAGGTCAAAGCCAAAAACCATCGCTTCAGAGCCGATGGTGAACTTAACACCTGTGGGTGGTACAGTTGTCCCTTATAAATTCCCAGTGGGGAGAGCCGTGACCTGGTTGAGGACTGCTTACAAATTCACCCACTGCGCCGGTTCTAGTCCTGGTTGCTCCTCTTCCAATCCAGCTCTCTGCTATGGCCTGGGAAAGCAGCAGAAGATGGCCCAAGTGCTTGGGCCCTTGCATCCGTGTGGGAGACCCAGAGGAGGCTCCTGGCTCCTGGCTTTGGATCGGCGCAGCTCCAGTCGTTGCAGCCAATTTGGGAGTGAACCAGCGGATGGAAGACCTCTCTCTCTGTCTCTACTTCTCTCTGTAACTCTTTCAAATAAATGAAAATAAAAAACAAAAAAACAAATTCACCCACTGAAGAATTAAAGGTACATTCTGGGTTCATCTTCCTAGGGGGACCTTTGAAGGGATCAATGTCAGAGACAAGTTTCCACTTTTCTATGTCTCTCAAGGTCAGTTTCACTATTCTGGTGAAGCTGACATCTGAACATGCAACTCCAGAAGTCTGTTTTTCAGGCATGGGGCCGGGGCCTGCTCACAACTGTTCCTCAGCCCACTCCTCTTTCTCCAAGTCCTCTGCCAAGTGTGTGACACAACACCTCCCATTCAGGTTGCCACAGACGGCACCTGCACACGATCAAGTACTGCTTCTCATCAGAGACCGTGCTGGGCTCCACACACACAGCCACCCGCACTGCACCTCCGGTACATCCCAGACAAGTGCACCAGGGTAGGCACTTGCTTAACCTGGGGACTTCCCTCAGGAAGGAACACTCACATTCTGATTTCTTGGAGCCTTCAGGCTTACAAGTAGCACCAAACTTTCTGTTTGTTCTCAGTCCCTGCATCCATCTAGACAGCAACACAATTCTGTTTGTTTTCTCCCTAACAATGAAGTCCACAGTGAGCATTACTGGCAGCTAGGCCATGTGGTGGCTGACCTGGATCCCACCAAGAAAGCGTGGGATCCAGTGGGGTGGTCGGTGGAGCTCCCAGAGAATGCCAGTGTGGTGGGACAGAGGCCACTGCTGCCAAGCCTCAGGGTCCAGTGCACATGTCACTGCTTTACCACATTGAGGGGACCACAGGTCAAATGCTGGGCCCACATCAGCAAGCCCACTCTTGTGCCATACTATGCTCCTCAGACAGGTCTGTGGAACCTGGAAGAATGCTACTTTATAAAACTCCCAGGGCCAGCGCTGTGGTGCAGTAGGTTAATCCTCCACCTGCAGCACTGGCATCCCATATGGACACTGGTTTGAGTCCGGCTGCTCCTCTTCCGATCTAGCTCTCTGCTATGGCCTGGGAAAGCAGTAGAAGACGGCCCAAGTCCTTGGGCCCCTGCACCTGCGTGGGAGACCCGGAAGAAACTCCTGGCTCCTGGCTTCAGATTGGCACAGCCCTGGCAGTTGCAGCCAATTGGGGAGTGGACCAGCAGATGGAAGACCCCCCCCCCCCCTCTCTCTCTGCCTCTCCTCTCTGTGTAACTCTTTCAAATAAATAAATCATAAAGAAAAGATAAAAAAAAGTATAGCCAACAACTCTATCATAAACTAACACCAAGTTGCAGTGTGTCAGCCATCTTGTTGTTCTGCACCATAGAAAGGTCATATACTTCTAACTAAAATTGCCTCTTGAAAAAAAAAACAGGTAATTTGGGGCTCATTTCTAGAACCTGCCTGTGAATGTGACAAAGAAGCTACTGAATAAACTATCTTCCCATTGAAAATTTTTATGGGGGTGCAAACTGTTGAAATCTTTACTTAATGTATACTAAACTGATCCTCTGTAAAAAAAAAAAAAAAAAGAAATTATCAACTCCCAACTTGACTCTCACTGGGATTAAACATGACAATAGGTCTGATCTGATTTCATCATCATTTAAAAAAAATCATCTATTATTTTTCACTTTATGTTTCTGTGTGGGAGCAAACTGTTGAAATCCTTACTTAATGTATACTAAACTGATCTTCTGTATATTAAGATAATCGAAAATGAATCTTGATGTGAATGGAAGGGGAGAGGGAGTGGGAAAGGGGAGGGTAGTGGGTGGGAGGGACGGTATGTGGGGGAAGCCATTGTAATCCATAAATCGTACTTTGGAAATTTATATTCATTACATAAAAGTTAAAAAAAAAAGAAAATGTAAATTCTTTAAAGAAGAGGAAGCAAAAAAAATTACTTTGGACAGTTCTGTTAATACGAAATTCCTCTCTCTCGGCATCATGGATGGAAAAGCGCCTTGTCCTACACCATCACTATTTTGTTAGAAATAAAATTAAAAAAAGATTCAAGGCTCTGGAGAGGAAACAAGATCTTTTGTCTCTCCCTCCATCATTCTGCCTTTCAAATAAATACATCTTAAACAAACAAGTAAAAGTATGAGAACAAAATTTTAATTATTTTGGTGCAAATTACTCTGAAACCCAAGCGTCGTTTTCTCGTCACACACATCTTCCAGGAACTTTTTCAAGATCCCCCTATACATTCCCATCTTTTTTGCACCCAAATAATCATCTCTTTTCCACCGACTTTTTCGAAGTTCCGTCTTATTAGCTCTGAACACACCCAGTGAAAAGTCTCATCACTGGAAGAAATACTCTAACTTTAGGGCAATAATGACAAAAATGTGGCTCACTTCTGGTCCAGCAATTAAAACCTGGTTTGCCTGAGGTATTAGAGCAACATCTGCTGTTCTCGCCCCGTGTCTAACAGAACTCAGCCCTTAAACTTCCCGGCCGCTGGGCGGTGGGGGGTGGTGGAGTCATAGCTTCAGGAATGGACACTAGGAGGTGCAGACCTACCTGTTCTGTGCACAGGCAAATGCAGCTCAAACAACTGGAACAAGGAAAGTGACTCACCAGCCTGCGGAAGTCCCTCTAGGTGTGGCCAATGTCTTGGTGCTGTTCCTTTGACGGTGGTGAGCTCTCCTCCGGGGGCTGCGGGATGGCCGCTGGCGACTCTGTCTTCCCTTGCCAGAGAAAGGCCTTGTTCTAGCATTGCCATCGCCAGGGCTAACAGGCACTCTGCTGGGTCTGGCTCAGGTCACGTGCCCATGGGCCCCCGCGAGTCATGGGGGACGTTGGTGAGCTCACAGCACAGAGATCCAGACCATCAGTTAAGCAGAGGTGAGAATGAGTATCTCCCTCCAGGGATGTGGGGATTTCCCATATGTGACAGTCCCTGTGGTGGAGTGTGGGACATCGTTTCATTGTGTACAGCTCTTATGGGAAGGAGAAATGAAACATTGCAACTGTACACTGGGCACTGTCCTGGCTACATTACATAGACAACAGCCGTGTACAAGGAATATTTTCAGAGTTTCAAGTCTATCTTTCTATGTGTGGTTACACAATTCACTCTACTTCAAGGGCCCACATTTTGAAACAGAAAGAAAACAGATGGGAGTGTCAAGAATTTCTAAGAATATGAGGAAGACAGGAGGAAGCAGCAATCCCGGATGAGGTGAGGGAAGAAGGGGAGTGTGCAAACAGTAACAACGTCAACATCGTTTGACTTCATTGTATCTTTAGCACTGAACGTCAAAGCAAGCCCTTAGTTTTAAAAATTCTCTACCATATCGTTTAGCTGGAGAAAAATGTACAGAGAAGCCGATTCATTTTCAAAGGTGCAGACTTTTATTAAACTCTAGTCTTTTCTATTTCAATTTTCACCAACAAGCATCTTTTGCCTTTTACAATTTCTTCACATGTGCCATTTCTTACGGATCTTTTTATGGTTTCAAAGTACATTACAAACATTTGCAGGATCATGCATCATAATTACTCGGACCAGGTTTCTGCAGCCGTTCACCTCATACTCGGCATTTTTATCAATGACGTCTTTAAAAGGAACAGTTGTACACCTGGCACCACAAAGGTAAACTTTGCAAAATATTTGGAGCTACACCTCTGACCTTTTAAAGTCATCTAGGATTTCGAGGAGCAGAGTACCACAAATCCATGCCCACTTCACAGGGGTTTGTATGTGTGTTCACAAAAGCACAACCACAAAGATCACCACAGTACTCCACAAACCGCCAACCATGTCCTAAACTCCGAGTCCCCGTGCGACCCCAGAAATGCCATTGCTAAGAGAGTCCATTGCTTGGATGTGGGCCATACATAGTCGGCAATCTCAAATTGGGGGGAAAAAAACAGGCTAACCATTCAATGTGCCCAACATTCAGCCAAGCTCTGAAGAAACAGATCTGACAGAGGATTTCGGGAGTCTGCCTTGTCAACAGGACTTTGTGGAAGGAAGGGGTGACCACAGACCTGAGTTACTGCACACTTACAGCTGCCCAGGACAGGCACGTTAAGAGTGCTCTGTAAACACGGCTGACAGGGGACATCTCGAGGGTTAAAGAGACTTTCTCCCAGGTTTGCTTTTCTGTAGGTTGCAGGGATTTGAATAGACTTTAATCAGAGAAGTATTACCTAACAGTGACATTCTATTGTATCAAGTAGAAATACTGTTTCAACAGGTTTTTCCTCGCAGAAAGAACTCGAGTTTGTATACAGCTACTAAACCTTCACCAAAACAAGAAAAAAATGCATCGATATTCAATACTTCGCAATGTTTAAGGTCTGACTAGGAGAGAACAAGATTGATAAGGATACATTTGAAGATTCGTTACTGTCACTTACTACCATGCAAACAATTCCATTAATACATTTATCATCCACTTCAGCGCTTAAACTACCATAGTCATCTTGATTTGGGTGCTGCTAATTTAGAGAGAGCGTATTCACTGCTCTCAGTGTCCTACCTGGAGCAGAACTCCAGAATTCAGACAGGTCCACGTTTCTATAAAAAAAACTAGACTGATTCCACTTCTTGTGTTCAAGCAAGTCTAGGACCAGGACAGAAGGCCCACGGGAAGCAAAGGGTCCTGCCTTCTACCTTGCCTGGACAGATTTCACAACTTCAAGACACTCTCAAGCTTTGCACAGTCCTTGCTCTTGGGGAGGTGGGGAGAGGCAACAGGTGAGCAAGTTGTCAGGAGACCCTGGCTCTGCCTGAGTGGCCCTGTGACCTTATTTGACCTCTGTGCCTCTATTTCCTGGACTGCACCAATCGGTGACCCTCAAGGTGACATCCTGCACTGATGTCACCAGCTGGGTACTCGCACAGGCGGCAGGTCCTTGGGCCCCAGCCCTGATCTACACACCAGCAATGTGTGTTTGGAGAGGCTTCCAGGCACAGAATTCAAAGTTCCAAACGCAAGGTGAATCAAAAAGATCTAAACTGGATCATTAGACTCAGTTTATCAGGCTTTGTCACTGCTGCGCAGGGCAGAATATTAATTTTCAGGACTATGGTATTGAAGATTTTCTCCACCATTCTTTGGGAAAAAAATGAGGCCACAGAGTTAACATGAGGGCAATTTTAGCTACCAGTAGCCAATAAAATGAAATGTAGTTATAGCCCTAATTAGGAAAGTTGGCATATTAAGTTATTTTTTATTTTTCCAAAGCTACTTACTGTTGACAAAAAAATCATCTTTTAACTATAAAGACTTTCCCTTCCATCTCTTTAATAAAAAAGGTATATTCAAGCTTGTAATATATGCTGAAAGTTATATTTAATGTAAAATGTTCCAACAGTACAAAATAAGAGATTTTTACACTGCTAATGTAATAAACTTAAATTGCCAAGTCAACCCGAACATGACAGTAACTGTAGTTACCTGACATACATGGCTACCTTGGGTTTTAGTTTCTAATTTTCAACTCTGTAAAAGCCGCCAAAAATTCTTATGTGGGTATAATGGCTCCATAATCTACTCTCTGCAAAAAGTATGATTTTAATGACATATGTAAATTATTTACATTATAAAATAGGTTAAAATATTATAATTATAAATAATTAAATAAATAGTACTTTCCCTTGCTACAGTATCCTGATCTTTCCTAAATTAAGGTTCATGTACTTAGAGAACTGGTTCGACTTCCCAGCCCGGTTAATCTTTATTTCCTGAGATGGATAACAAGTAAGTGCCTTTCAGCTGCCCCATACTGTGTTTTTAAACACGGCTCCCAAGACAACAAAAAGAACTTACACTACAGATGCAATACCTTCAGTTGTACAAAGAAAAAAATCACTGGTTTGGAAAACTGTAAAACCTGAGAAGCACGTTTAGAATTTCTTTTCCATTCTAATTAGTTGAAAAATATTCTACTCTAGGAACAAGCAAGGAAGATGGGGGCCCAAACACTTGCATCTTGGCAAGGACCTGTTACTGGAGTATCTTCTGGGGTGTGTTTTGTCACAACAAAACCTGTTGCCCATCGCTTGACGACAAAGGCATTTCCTGCAGCAGCATGGCTAGAATTCAGGAGGCTATCGCCACACAAAATACTTTCCATCCACTGCCGTCACCCTGGACTCTACCTTTCACATCAGCAGCCCCAAGACTTTCACATCAGAAGCAGCACTACTCAGGGGACGCTCACGAAACACACCATCAGGGAAAAGAGGTGTACGAATACATCTTTTATGATATGTACAAACACACCCATACATCATAAAAGACTTAAGAGTAGTAAATTGGGCTTTTTTTTTCTTTTCTAAATTTACCAATGTGTCCAGAGATTCTCACATAGTGCTATGGACCAAATCACCTGAGCTGGCCGAAAAGGATGACGAAATGAATGCAGCATTTAATAGAGTTTTTATTTGCTTAATTTGGTAAAGGTAGAATGTGATGGTTTCAAGGCAAACGCTTGGAATATTTCAGTCACAACCCATAACATGATTCTGAAGCACAGTCTTCGATATCTACCCGACCTTACACAGACACAGCTATAGAATTCCATGTACAATATATTCTGGTCACGAACGACTCAGGGATTTCAACAGCTCTAGAATTCAGATGTCATATTTTGACACACTGCAGGACATAACTATAATGAGATAAAAAAATCCATGCAATGCTACTCGGGTTTCTTTTTAAAAGTAAATCTAGTTTTTGATCATTCAATGCTATATAAAGTGCATTGAATACCTAAAATAAAACAAGTGCCAATTTTATCACGAATTAATAACATATTTATTGTCCTGAAACCAAATAGGCCCAAGTTACTTTTTGTCCTTTTGAGTCAGTTCTCTATAAACTCATTTCTCTCAGCTTCCCCGTGTAGGGTATTTCGCTTCTTCTCTGCGGTTAGTCAAGAGATATCAGGGGGCTCAAGGGAGGTGCGTTCTGGATAGTTCTGAGTCAGAGAGCGCTTCTTCGTGAGCAGAAGGTTCATAGTCTCCCACATTTTCGGTCAGTTCGATATCTAACTCATCGTTACTTTCTGCGCTGTAATCAACTTCTTCAAGGAACCGAGGTTCATCTTCATCCAAAACGTAAGTGGTAGGGCTGTGGTCAAAACATACACAACACGCAAGACTTCATGAGAGGCTGCTGTTCTAACAGAAGGCTAGCTCACTAAACGGGATCAACTTGGATTCCCATAGAATACGAGTAGCTTGTATTAATTTTTAAAACTGTGTCCAAATGAACAAGCTGAGATATGTATAACAGTTGAAAGCTCCTTGTATGAACAATCAAGGGTGACATGCTTACTTTCAATTCTATTACAAGAGTGTCAATATACATCCTACTCAGATTTCTAAACAAAAAAAGTGGGGCTCTCTCATTAGGTTCTTTCTTGGAAGGATTTCAACCGTTTGCAGGCTATTAAGATTTATATGTAAAGTTCTGTAATAATTAATGTAAACCAGGCCGTATAGGAAACTGTAGGTATCTGGTTCAACTGATGCACTGACATCACTTGTGCCAAGACTATCGAGTGATCAGCCATCATAAACACAGCCTAAAGACCCACTCCCACGGCTGCCGCAGCTCGGGGAAAAAAGTGAAAAACAAGTGAACACTCCATCCTGAAACTAATTACTCTCCTCGGGGACGCAGAGCAATGTCTGCCCGAAAGCACTGAGCACTTCTCAATGCTCAGTAGGTAGGCTGGCAGGGAGTGAGACCGCCTCTCCACTAGGTCTCGTGACATACTTTCTTCTTGAAAAAGAAGTCACGGCATTCTGATTTCTCTCCATTTGTGAGATATCAGACACGTGTAAGCAGCACGCACACACGTGTACACTGTAGCAAAGAAACATCACAAACATTTGCAAGTTCCAAAGGCAGTGACCAAAACCACTGTGATTTCATACAGAGGTATGTTTGTTTATATCCTGTCTGTTTCCAAAAGGCATTTCCAAAAGTCAATGGATTTAAAAGCCATCAACTCAAATAATGCAAAGGAACAATAAATTGCTAAGATGATCAGAGAAGCAGATGTCATGAGGCACCTAAAATTAGGGCATTCCTGCAACTGACTGTTAAAATCCAGTTTGGATACCCACAAGGCAAGGATGGAGAATTAACGGATGGTATAGTTCTAATTTTTGAAAAGGAGAAAACAAAATCCATCTGGCAAGAGCACTTTTTTCCTAGAGTTACTTTAATCTTACTCATTAAAGAAAAGAGAAAAATGCATTGGAAAACCACCTTGAGCTAATATAATATAGCAAACTCCCTCTGCAGCACTCAGAGCTTGCCCATGACAGAGCAGTCCTGATAAATCAAGCTGAACACCATACCTAATGCAAGAACAATGTCACAAGTTCAATACTGTAAATCAAATATGCAGAGTAAATCGGCTAGGTCTTTAAAACACGAAGCTATCGAAAGAGAAGGTTATGTGCCCTTTAAAATGCCTGTTGCCATCTTTCTTTCTTTTGGACTACAATCACTCGTTTCCCCTCCTTGTTTCAAATTCTCAGGAGACATCCTAGGTGAGTCTTAGAATAGATGGAAATGGAGTTAAAGGAGGAGGCGAGAGAGAATTGAGAAAAGGCGAGTTGTCTATTGCCACAGACTTGGGTGTCGCTATTTTCTTCCTGGAGATGTTGTAACTAGAAGTGACCATGGAAACGCAAGGAGAAGGACCTGCTCCAAGGCCATGCCCTGTGTATGCACAGGGGCTGGACCCAGAGACAGGGTGCACGGGGATCGATGTATCCTGACACAGGCAAGGAGTGCACAGCCTCTGTGATGTGGCCGGCTGGGTGAGTGGGCTCGCGAGACGTGAATCTCAGCCTCCCAGGACCCCAGCAGAAAGCAGAAGGCCATACACGAAAGTGGTTGTGGGGCTGCAGTCATGCACTGGGGTCGGGGTCGGGGCCAGGACCTAGCTTTCCACACGAAAGTGAGTGACCAGAAAAGTCAAACCAATCTGAACTAAAGGAAAGGGTTTAAAGAAAAAGCCTTGTGTCAGAGGCTACGAGGAAGCAGGAGAGGAATGTGACATGGGAGGGACAAAAATATCCTAGATGGAACCAAACAAGCTAAACAGCAAGAACACTTAGAACAATGCTGATATTAGATGCTGATGTGCACTTAAAAAAAAAAAAGGAATTATTTATTTATCTGAATGGTAGAGTTAACAGAGGGAGAGGGAGAGACAGAGAGGTCTCCCATCTGCTGGTTCACTTCCCAGATGGCCACAACAACAATGGCAGTGCCAGGGCTAAGCCAGGAGCCTGGAACTCCATCTGGGTCTCCCATGGGGGTGGCAGGGGTCCAAGCACTTGGACCATCTTCTCTTCTGCTACTGTTCCCAGGCACCTTAGCAGGGAGCTGGTTCGGAGGTGCAGCAGCCAGGACACAAACTGGCATGCACTTGGGATGTAGCTGTCTCAGGTGGAGGCTTAACTCGCTACGCCACGGCGCTGGTGCGCACTTTTTAAGACAAAGTAGCACACCCTGGAGGGCAAGTTCTTGAAAAATCAGAAGCAGCGCCATGGCAGGGAATGTCCACAATCCAGAAAATAATTTCACCCTGTCAGCTCTTGATGGTGGCTCCTTCTTCAAGCCGTGACGGGAAATAAGGGTATGAAGTAGTCCCCTCCTCTTATCCCACTCCTGTGACTCACACGGGCTCTGATATTTCACTCCTGTTCCTGCAGATCCCAACAAAATCATGTTCCCAGACCTTGCTTCCCTTAGACCTACACACCGCGACTGAAGTAGACCACACGCGACCAGCAGCTGTGAGGAGGCCCGGTGCTCCCTGCAGAACATGAGCAGGATCAAATGGACCAAAGGGAAGAGGAAGTTGGTTGGAGGAACAGGCAGGCACGGCAGGGGTCGGGGAGTGAGGAGAGAAGGTTCCAGGCTTAAGTAACTCAAACAGTAACACAGTAGAAAGAAAGGCAGGGATTACAACTCTCAACACTGACACTAACCTTTGTCATACTATACCAACTGCCATTTCCAATCCCTTTTTTACTAGATCTTTCCATTCCATGAAACAGTGGTGAAAATCCCTGATAGCCTGCTGTTCTGATCTGCTTCATTCCTTTCTGTCTCCTTCTCACCGGCTTCCCGTTATCTAGACAGTCCTCAACAGGTATCTAGAGAAAGGTTCTTGGTGGACAGCCCATCGATTTTCATCTGCATTGGGATGATTTCCAAATCCAAATTTCTAGCCCCCACTTCTCCATTCAACTTCTCCTGCAAAGCGTGGCCTTGCAAGATTGATTCTCAGGGCTCTCTCACTGCAGCCTGTTGGAAACACAGCACTGCTGCTCCCCCCACCCAGAGCCTACTCTAACACAGCACTGCTGCTCCCCCCACCCAGAGCCTGCTCCTCCTTCTAGTAGTCCCAGATCACTCAGTGAGTCACGACGACCAAAATTACCCTCGCGCAAGTCAGCCACTGCATCCTTGGCCCAACTCCTCGTCTCACACTTCACGTCACAAGCCTTCGCCGATGTCGCTTCCTCTGTGTGAGGTCTACGTCTCACCACCCTTCTGCTTCTGTTTCTTTCAAAACCCAGCTTGCGCTCCTCTTCTGATATTCTTCCGTAAAGCCCACCTTGGGCCAAGTGCCTTCTCTCCATTCCCGCTTCTACCCTGCACACACATTCTGTCCGAGCGCTCACCATCTGCAGCTGAGACCACCCACTGGGGCCTGTATCCCTCAGTAGGATGTCAACAGCCTCAAAGTCCGGAATGGCAGCTTCCCCATCTGAGTCCCTCCTGGAGGTCTGACAAGATCATCAGTTTTTGTCTGGAGTACGATCCCATCCCATTGAAATTACATTACTGAAAACGCACTGCAGGCACAAGACCAATCACAGGAACTCATCTTTACTTTATTATCAATTCTAACGCATGCTTCACGCACACAGCTTAGGAGTGTCTTCATACCCATCATCTCACATTATTGTTGGGGCAACCTTCATTTAAAAGACAGACCAGCCCCTAAGGTCATTGCCTGAGGGTTCTAAAACAATCCTTGTGTGTCAGCAGATGGGAATTCAAATGTCCTTGGAACCATAAGAAAAAGAGAGGCCGAATCAGGAGGTGACTATTTCCCATCTCTGTTAACTTTGCTTTCCTGCCACTCCCGACTGGTTCCCTTCATTCCCTTCACGCACGTGTACTCCTTTTCCGTGTTTTGTTTCATTTGCCAACAGCCCTTTCCATTCTAGATTTTTCCAATCTTTCCATTGTAGATTGGAGTTCTTACGGTGAACAGGAGCAAGGCATTAAGAAAATACTACATTCTAAAAAACGACAGTAATTTAGACCAAAAACAAACGCTGCTTCATGCAAAATATCAAAACCTGTGCTCCAGGAGCCTTCTCAAAGGATGAACGCATTGACACACTCTGCTGTACGGCACCACTACAATGCACAGAAGGTTTACGATGCCAACTGCTTTCTAAAGAAAACAAACAATTCTGCTTCACACTAAGCTAGTAATCACTACACAAAATTAAGCCTAAAAATCTACCTTCTCTCTCAAGTACCCACCGTCTACTTCTAGTAGAGCTACTCTGCCAGCCGCAGTAGCAGATTCAAGACCTGCACTGCCCACGGAGCCAGAAACTCCGGGCTTCTACCTGGATTCTTCTAACCAGCCGGGGACCCAGAGCTGAGCCCAGGGTCCCAAGTGCAGAGCTCTCTAGCTCACAACGCTGTTTGGTTCAAGTTAGGTAATAAATGCGAAAACACTTACTAATATTATAACACAGAATGTTATGACAATAATAAAACCTATCTTGTTAAAGAAAAAAGGAAATCAACTTTTCTCAGCTTCTTTTTTATTTTATTTATTTTTTTTTTATTTTATTTATTTATTTTTTTTTGACAGGCAGAGTGGACAGTGAGAGAGAGACAGAGAGAAAGGTCTTCCTTTGCCGTTGGTTCACCCTCCAATGGCCGCCGCGGCCGGCGCGCTGCGGCCGGCGCACCGCGCTGATCCGATGGCAGGAGCCAGGAGCCAGGTGCTTTTCCTGGTCTCCCATGGGGTGCAGGGCCCAAGCACCTGGGCCATCCTCCACTGCACT